TGATGCTGAAAAATTGGGGTCCTGCGGGGTTAGCGTACCTAACGGAGGTCCTCAACTTGTCTATGGCCACTGGTGGGGGAGTGGCCCCACTGCTCAAACCGGAGAAACCTGCCAACAAAGGAGATTCTTATCGTCCGATAACACTCCTTTCCCCTGTCGCGAAGACACTCGAGGCCTTGCTTCTCCCGTACTTCACAAACCACTTGACCCCAGCGAAGCACCAGCATGGTTTCCGTAAAGTGCACAGTACAACAACAGCACTTAACGCCATAAACACTCAGATAACTCGTGGCCTTAACCGAAACCGTCCGTTTGACACCGTCTGCCATTCCACGCTACTAGATATAGAGGCCTCCCTCTCTCCCACAGAGGCTCAAACGGTGGTCGGCAAATTATCTGAGTGGTCGACACTCGTCGGTAATGTTTAGAGACAAATCGAGTAAACTTAGAAAAATAAAACAGGGAGTTCCACAGGGTGGTGTCCTTTCCCCGCTACTGTTTAACTTTTACATTTCAAAGCTCCCTCAACCACCAGAGTGAGTCTCGATTTTCTCTTATGCCGACGATTGCTCGATCATGGCGACTGGGAAAGGAATTGATGACCTGTGTTCGAAAGTAAACGGGTATCTCTCCGAACTTTCTCGCTTCTTCACTGCAAAGTGTCTAGCCCTCTCCCCTACGAAATCCAGTGCGACCCTGTTCACAACCTGGACGAAGGAGGTCAGGCTACCGCTGGGAATTCACGTCGATGACACACCAATTCGGACGGTGAATAACCCCAAAATACTCGGAGTAACATTCGACAGCCTGCTCTCCTTCTCTGCGCACGCAACCGCTACTGTCAATAAAGTACAGAGCCGCAACAAGGTCCTCAAGTCGCTAGCCGGCAGCACTTGCGGCAAAGACAAAGAAACGTAGCTGGCAACATACAAGGCAATAGGCCGGCCGGTTTTCAACTACGCAGCGCCAGTGTGGTCGCCGGGGGACTAGTAGGACGCAGTGGACGAAGCTACAGACTACACAGAACACCGCACTTAGGACAGTGACAGGATGCCTCCTGATGTCGCCCGAACACCATCTTCACGGCGAGGCGCAAATGCTCCCCGTAAAGGAGCACAACATAATGCTCTGCAAGCAGTTCCTGATCGGGAGCCACAGAAGTGGCCACCCAAACAGACAGCTGCTTGCAGAGGAGCCCTCGCCTAGGCACGTCAGGAGGCATCTATATGAACTGACGCACGAAGTCCAGAGGTTCATCAAGCAACCTCTGGACCCGACAGCTTACCGACTGACCCTGAACGGCATTCACAGGGAGTAAGTCTCGAGTTATGCAGACTCTAGACCTGTGAATGCCGTTCTAGGCCTACCGCCCCCGCAGGTTAAACTCCTACCTGAGTAGATTGAATGAGGATGTGCCAAATGAGTGTCCGGCATGCGGAGAGACCCCACATGACTCGAAACATCTCTTCGCATGCCCGGAAAACCCGACAACCCTATCGGCCTTGTCCTTGTGGACCAACCCCACAGAAGCTGCACGCTTCCTGGGGCTGCCGTTAGTGGAACTTGACGACAACGACTGAGATACCAACCATCCTGGGCGGGGTTGTTGTAGCCGCTACAACAACAACAACAACAACAACAACAACAACAACAACAACAACAACAACACAACAACAACAACAACAACAACAACAACCATCCTACAAAGCCCATCGAGTTGAAGTAGAAACACCAGACGTGATGAACGCGATATTGAAAACGCTAAAGTCAATCGCAGGTAAGAATAATAATGGTGTCACCGAGAAAAAGGATGCTGCAAACGCAGGGCTGAAGAAGACGAACCCAACCCCAATCAGTCGCTAAATAAAACTAGCTAGCAGAAAGGGGCACGCTAGCTCCCGCAATTGAATGTCCCATAATCTCTATCTCGCAAATTAGCAGAAAAGCGAGCAACGTCACTGTTGGCGGATATGTGGACGGACATAAGCGAGTACTAAATGTGGATACGATCGTATAAAATTCCATCATTCGACCTGATTTCGCCACTAAAGTGGTAGCAAGGTAGAGGACAGCAACTGGTGAGGACACCAAAGTTGTAGAAGAGGCAACATGCAAGGTCACAATAGGAAATTTGTCGGTGTGAAAGAAGTTCAGAGTCGTGAAGATCGTGGATGAAGTCATTATAGGAGTAGATTTCTTAATCGGCCAAAGCATCAAGATCGACATGAAGAACAGGATCATGACATATAACAACATGGAAGTGCCACTTGGGTATGATGGCCCGTACAGCAGCAAGCGAGTGATTTTGGAGGAAATCAAAAGCAATTGTTTGGGCGAAGATTGATGGATATTGTGGGACAAACAAATTGTGGGTTGTTGGGATGCATTTCAGTTTGAGTACATATCTAGTTCGAGTCGTCAATAAAGCTCCGAAAAGGAACTGTACTGGGCCAATGTGGAGAAGTAGAGGTCAAACACAACAATTTTTTCATAATTCTGCGATTTGTTCCGACTATGCCTTGCCTCTTTTTCTCAAATTAACCAAGACGTGACCGAATTGTCCAATTTAATGTCCACTTCACTGTGTTCGAAAAATCAAAGACAGTGACGAAGCCGCCAATGAGAGAATGAGAGAATGAGAGAAGTGCGAATGTATTAGTTGAAAGTGTGAATATATTGCTATTGTCTTCGCAAAATTGTCCTATGTAAACCCCAAATTAGAGCGCTTTCACATTAAGCGCTGATTATACTTGCATTGTACTGCAGCCCATAACATGAGTACTGCCACATATCGAATCTGTTTAATGGGCTTTGCATACAAGCGATTATCCGACGCAGCGCAAAACAAGGCATGACAGCGAAGTCTAGAGAACATTCATTTTTCGCTATGTGACATTTTCAAAGAGCGATGCCACTCTCATTCCACGCATTAGTCTGTTCCAGTACCCATCAGATTTACAGGAATTACTGAGAAGTCGTTCTTGTACATACATTTTGGAATATTTATAGTCGAAACAAAGTCGATTATAAAGTTAGTTGCCGCCTTTTCATTGAAAATTATGACAAAGATCAGCAACTAACTTTAGTGTCGACTTAATTTAGGCTATGAATAGGCATTCTTCTGTTATGACCTCCTAACTAAGTCCTGGAGTGCTAGAACAGACTAGCTGCACTGAACAGCTTATTCTGGGAGACTATAAATAAATAAAAATAAATATAGCAAGCTATAACGTCTTTATCTTCGCCAGAATAAAATACCGAAAGTATTCCGACAAAAGTGTGCAGATCAAAGCAACGCGGAATCGCTTCGATAAGCTGAAACTACCGACGAAAAAATTTCGATTGTATGTCATACCGAGTAATGTGAAAAGGCTCTTAGTTGACGGATTTCCCCAAATCCCTTGAGTTCGTAACGCTGGGTTGCTAAATAAACGCTCAAGATGACCAAATTACAGTGCAATTAACTTTATTGTACAACAAAAACCTTATAATAAACGCTAATGAAATAACAACATTTACAATACTCGTTAAAGCAACTCCAATACTCTACAAAACTTGCTAACACAATTGATCTGTATTACAACTGACTTGTAGCTTGCTGATTCATGGCTACTCTAGAGAATTCTGCCGTCTATCGTACATTCTCTCGCTGTTCGCAGTGTTCCTCCACTTGACGTTTCTTGCTGTCGAATGCTCTACGTCTTTCATCAAACATTCTGCCATTTTCATGTTGTTCGCTTCGCGTTGTCGCAGTATTCGCCACAATACTATGAAATCTCATTTGTATTTATTCTGTAATCAGCGTGTCACTATAATATTGCTTCCTGCTGTTTCTCACGCCGCAGTCCGTTGGCTTTTTTAACCTTCCTTCTTTCAATAAAATGCACACGGCTTCGCAACTATGCGCTGTGCTGTGCTTTACGAGCGTTACGCCTAGTGGCGCCGTTAGACGAACCAATTCCCTGCTCTGAACTACCGCTATTCAATTATCGCCTTACTGTGCCGAACGCACAAATTCTTGCCGACCTCAAAAAAGCGGTAAAACAACGCCTGTCCTTATGGCCACTACACCCACCCTACTTACATGCGTACATTGCCGTTTCTTGTAGTTTCCCGCTCGTGTTGCGAACTCGCACCGCTACTGCACTGCCACTACCGCTATTTTCCCCGTTAGGCTTGTGTACTGAAAATTTGTCGATTTTCCTCGCATTGCAAGTCCGCGTTGGTGAATTTGCAGTCTACGTACGTTGCTTTAAAATTGTATGTGTGTACGCAGCTTTTCGCGAAGATGTTTGCTATTAAGAACGATGCTATTACCGCATACGTTTTTTCACGCCAACTTTAGCGCACGGCGATGTCAGCGCCGGCTTTGCTGATACCACCTAGAAGTTTCGCACACGCTTTTCGCAAAATTTACTTTAATTAACACGCGATTTCTACAGTGGATTCGTATCTCACTCTGACACCAATTTGGTGGGACCAAGTACTCCCAAATAAATAACAGAACACTTTTTAAATTGAAATTTGAGTTTATTGTACAAAAGCTGTCATCGATTCGCCAACAGTTAGCGGGTGGCGAAAAGAACGAACTCAATGAGGTTCAACCAAACTCGATATCGTCTATCCGTTCTAGCTAACTTTGTTGTTGCTTTCACATGCAAAATTCTTCTTTAAGCGACCGGAACCCAAACGTAGCGAGCGAGAAGTGGCGAATCGATGACGGCTAAAGTTTATAGTTTAAGTATCTCCGTTTAATGGTGGTTGTCAGCTCGGGTTGTGGTCGATGAACAAGTGTTATGTACGGTTACTTATAGTTTCCATTTGTCTTCTGTTTCGTTCAGTCGGGGTTGTAATAATTAGTGTCCCTACTACATGTTATTTAGAAATAGACAGCTAGCTTATATTCATTATCTAGGAGACTATTGCGTTTTGTTGTGGAACTCACCATATACATATGTACATACATATATAGCCGTATTCTTTTTTCAATATATTATTATTATGCACTGTTAAAGTAAGACTATGAACAGGTAATACTTACGCACTGCTGCTCGATTTCCTGCTGCTTCTCTCTTAGTTCATGATCGGTCACATTGTCATCAAGTTTCAATCCTTCCAAAAGCCTATCCATATCTTCTTTCATGAGTCTAGTAATAAGATAAATGTAAATTACGTCAGACATGGTTCAGCAAACATACTTATTTAAATAACTTTGTAATTCGATTTCATGACATATGCGCTTTTCTTCTAGCAAACTCCATCGTTTTTTTCGGGCTAGGCGTAACTGTGAGGTGATGTCATCTCCAAAATTCTGTTTTTGTTCTTTTGATAAATCGAAAGCTATAACGAATAACGTATAGTGCTTGATTTCAGGTTTAATATCTAAATATTTCAGCTTAATTTCTATGAAAAATATGTTAAAACTTGAGAACCTTGTTGCGGCTCTGTACTTTATTGACAAATGCGGTTGTATGCGGGGAGAAGGAAAGAACGCTATCAAAGGTAACTCCTAAAATTTCCGGATTGTTCACCGTCGGAATCGGCGTGTCACCGACGTAAATGCCTAGTTGAAGCTTGACCTCCTTCGTCCACGTACTGCAGAGCGTCGCCGTTGATTTCGTTGGAGGGAAGGTGAGGCTTCTTGCAGTAAAGAAGCGAGAACATTCGGAATTCGAATTCCATTCCCAGACGCCAATATCAAACAAACGTCAAAGTATGAGATCATGGAAACTCTCGAGATCTAGAAGCCTTCCTGGATATAGAGGGCGCCTTTAACAACATCATGCTGGGCGCGATAAACGCAGCACTGACGGGCCTGGGCATCAAATCGCGCTTAGTTGCGCTCGTAAACCAAATGCTGATATCGTGCTGGTATCGTTGACCAGGATCGTAGAGAGGGGCACCCCGCAAAGGGGAGCCCTATCCCCTCTATTATGGGCCGCATCGGTAAACTCACTGCTTTGTGGCATGGAAGGGGGTGGCTGTAAGGGTATTGCGTATGCGGATGATCTTGCACTAACAGTAAGTGGGAAATTTCCACAAACTCTATGTGACATTATGCAGGTAAAACTGAAGGAAGTCGAGAAGTGGACAAAAAATAACGGATTAGGGGTAAACCCAAGCAAGACAGAGCTTGTACTGTTCACAAGAAGGTACAAAATCCCCTCATTGATAACACCAAGGCTGGCACAGACCACACTAAAATTAAGCGAATCTGCTAAATACCTGGGGATAGTCCTGGATAAAAAATTAAGCTGGACTCGAAACACCGAAGAGCGGGTGCGGAAGGCCACGGTTGCCCTATACAGCTGCAGGAGAGCAATCGGCCAAAAATGGGGTTTAACCACGAAGCTAGTGCACTGTATATACACCGTCGTGGTGAGGCCCATACTTCTGTACGGGGTAGTGGTATGGTGGCCAGTGCTGGAGAAGAAAGTAAACAGTGTTAAATTACAAAAAGTGGAGAGAACGGCCCTGATCTGCATTAGTGGTGCTCTCCACACAACACCTACTATGGCAATGAATACGATCCTTAACATCATACCCATAGATATTATGGGACGACAATACGCTGCGTTTGCAGCGCTAAGACTACAGGGGCTTAAAAGCTGGAAAACGGCTCGTTGTGGTCACACTACAATTCTGAGAAACCGACAACTACCGAGTACAACGGACTACTGTGTACCAAGGCTCACTTTCACTAAAGGTTATAGCGTCATGCTACCTAGCAGAGAATCATGGCTCGAAGGAGTTGCGGGGCCTAGAGATGCCATAAGATTCTACACGGACGGCTCCAAACTAGAAAATAGGGTAGGCGAGGCGTCTATTCCGAGAAACTGGGAAGAAAAAGATCATTCCGACTACCTGACCACTGTAGTGTCTTTCAAGCCGAATTGGCAGCCATACAATAAGACGTTGACAGCCTAAAACTAGCTTGACTCTGTCACTATAAACTCGGAAACAGTTGTCAACTGCCGCAAATCACTTAACGTGATGGCGGAGCAGTTCGCTTTGCACCTGGTATGGGTACCGGGGCACAGTGACATACCAGGAAATGAGAAGGCAGACGACCTTGCAAGGGCGGGTACTTCCTCTCCACTTTCACCAGCCTGAAAGAGGATGGGTATGCCACTCGCTTCCTGAAAGCTCTTACTAAGGGAGAACTTCCTTGAAGAAGCGGCCTCCAGATGGGAGCGTACTGAAAACTGTAATACAACGAACCTTACATGGCCAAAATGGGATGTACGGAGATCGAGGGAAATTCTCACTCCCAATAAAGGCGATGTCACTGGCCATTGGTCTGTTCACACGACATATCCTGATAGGAAGGCACGCAGAACGCCTCGGGGTTAGTCACAACGACACTGCAGAAGCTGCCACGACGAAGAAGAGCCTGAATCAATAAGGCACTTACTATGCGATTGCCCAGCACTAGGCAGGAAAAGACAGAAATTCCTAGGTATAGGTCTTCTAGACGATATAAGCGCGACTGCTAAGTTTGCAATACGGCAGTTGCTAAGGTTCGCAGACTCCACGAACTGGTTTAAGGAGTAGGGGTCTTTGGATACATGTGGTATCACAATGGGCCCTGATCGGGCCTAAGTGTGCTGGCGCCCTCTGGGCCTAGCAGCCAGGTTTCAAAATATCATGATTATTCGACTGCTATGCGGTACACGACTTACTTTCTTTGCCTATCAGTAAATACGAGTATAGAGGGCCAAAGGCTTACAAATGCGAGAGCACACAACGTACAGTGGGCTGTTAGAAAAGAATGGTGACTCCGAATTGATTTTGCACACTAGAGAGAGAGGTTTTGGGTTTCGGTCTACTATCGACAGTTTTTAACACTATCGATACTATCGGAAAATTACCACTCTTAGTTTTAAGTAATTTTCCAAGCGGTAACAATATTGTGGCTAATAAATTTATTATACGGGTAAGTATTTTGAGAATAAAATAATATATTTTCTAAAGTTTTCCGTTAAAATATATCAATTTATAGTTATAGTGTATTTTGAAAAACACCCCCAAATATTGGCAAAAACAAATGGTTATTGTGATTTTTAAAATAACTGATCCCTTCATAAAACAAATGCAGCCATAAATTTGTCAAATATTTTTCGTGTTTGAAACATTGATTATTCTATGTTATGTAACAAAAATTTATTACTTATAATATGTATACATACAAGTTTAAAACTAATGGCCATATTCATAAAAAATATAGTAGATTTAAAGAGCTTTATAAATTGACGTTTTCATAAATTTTTCAATATATACACCTTTTATAAAGCTACTTTATTTTTTATGAATAAGGCCATAAGTTTCTTGGTGAAATAATAAAAATTTGTTTCCAGTTTTTGAAAATAATATTCGGCGCTTTTATGGTTGTCGATGTCGACGTCGATGTCATTTTTACAACAAAAAAATAGCCCTTGTGGGTCCTACTCCAGCTACGCCGACCACTGTATTTTTGAGGAAAGATGTTCCTCGCAAAAATTCTGTGTGTGAGTTAGGCGACTTACGGAAGGTTTCAAGACCAGGACGAACTGCTGTAAGAACAACAATGGCGATCTGGTGACCGATGTCCAGTAAGTACATAAATTATGGAGGGAACAGTTTTCCACCCTAGTGAATGGTAGCAGCACGGAAAGTTGTGGAGAAAAAAACCGAGCCCCCAGTCGATGATGATGAGCAATTACGCAGCTGTTTGGATGTTCCCGAGTTAGAATACGTGAAGTTTGAAATCGTGGCAAGTGCCGATTTCAAAAACGGTAGCTTTTCGATTTTCAGGTAGGTTTTCGATAAGGTTCTAGATGAATGATTATATGTATTTACATATATAAAAATCGATTGTATACATATTTATACATACTTACTAGTGTTCGCCGAGCGGTTGAAATTCAACCGCTAAAATTAAGTATAGATTATGTGAGTAGAGTTGAGGTGAAATAACATTAGTTGGAAAGGGTTAAGTGGAGGGGAGTTTAGCTTAGTACTTAGCATATCATAATATTTCATAGCATAACATGACATACCATAAGATTAAATAACATAACATATGTAGCATAACTACGGTGACCATAAATATGGATTCAAAATGAAGGACAATTTTTCAAAAATATGCCTGCATATATTTACGTAGTATAAAAATATCAAAAGAGTATTTATGATTCTAAATTCTTAATACATTTTAAACTTTAAAAATGAATCACGTTTTCTTCATTGACAATAATCTTTTTTTACATGAATATTTATAAAAGTATAGTAAAACATATTATAATTACAATAGCTTACACGAAAAGTGAAAATCTTTAAAAGATTATTTTATATGCAAATTTTGAGTCGTTCAAAACGAAAACAATACCCTTCTTTTTTTGTTTTTTTTGGTACTTTTCGCAGTTATTTGTCAAAAATCGACGTAGTGAATCGACGTAAATGACGAGTTACAAAATGCCCCTTACAAAAATATATAATTTGTGCAGATTGCGCTCCATAGCATCTACATTTATAATCCGATTTTCATTATCTTTGGCCCAAAGTTTACTGTAATGATATATCTTCTTTATCGAATTTTTTAAATAATGAAAAAACATAATCAAATGAAACTGCGTATTTGATTGAAAATCTCACTTTTTTCGCCTGTAGCACTAATAATTTTGGTAAGAGGCACATCAATACCCTTCGAGCTGTAAGTCGCTTACGTTAATTTGCAGATTTTTTCATGAGATATTGAAGAAAAGCTACGAAAAGTACCAAAAAACACTATTTTTTAAATCCATCCATAATTTTATATAATTTTAAAATAACGAATAAAATGCGGGACAAATGCAGGACAATTGGAAAAAATCAGTACATTTTCGGGATTTTCAGTTTTGAAAAACTACGCAGGACCGACCTTTGAAAAACAGTACGGTCCTGCAAAAAACAGAACGGATGGTCACCGTAAGCATAACACACCATAACATAACATCGCACATTCTTCAGTTGTATCTCCTTTTTTATCCCTATCACATTCTTCCTCTCTATCTTTGTCACTATCGTTATTTAAGTTAATGTTATTTAAGGTTATATTTATGTATCTTCATCTTCATCTCCATCTTCATCTCCATCTTCATCTTCATCTTCATTGTAATAAAATTACAAGAAATGTGTTGTGGCGCAGTCGAGCGCTTATCGAATATTGATTGCTCTTTATTAATTATTTCTTTCCTAATTCATACAAATTTAAACTTACTTAATTCTATGTTTTCTTATTTACTATAATACATATTTATTATACTTCTTACATACTAGTCTTACAAACACATGTATGTGCAGCCAAACACTTATGCACATACATATGCACATTGGCTTAGCTTAGCAAAATATGCTTATGGGAGAATGCAGTGTAAGCAGAAATCGAGCATTCAATAATATCTGGTGTGAACCACAATTTGTTTGCATTAGCGACATAATAAGTTTAATGCACTTTTGGCGCGTTATGTAGATATGGATTTCTGATACACTACACCTCCTCTCTTTAAAAGAATGCTTATACATTTGTGAGCAGGGATGATAAATAGGTTTTTGAATTTTGTACCAAATGGCCAAAAAAAATACTAAATCAGCCGAAAAAGTACCAACATTTAAAATACCATACATACATATAAACACATATGTTTTTAAATTAGGTAAATATCTCTATTGGTACGTGCATTTAACATCTCCAGTAAAACATGTCCATCAACAAAATTTCCGTGAAATGTCATCTGTTATCTCACAAGAGGAAAATATCCAGTATAGTTTGCAGCAATTTTCATGCTACCGAACAGCTGCTCGAATTTTCGTTTTTATTCAAAAATGTAAACAGAAAAAACACTCCATCAATCTGAAATTCAGGCAACCGGATCACTGTAGCGTTTTCCAAGCAGAGGTAGCCACAGTACAGGAGGCTTCGGATTGTTTGCTCTCTAGTGTAACCAATTTTATGTAGGCGAATATCTATTTCGACAGCCAAGCAGCTCTTGGATCCTTGTTGATTCGTTAGAAAACGGTGAAGACTGTACTTCCTTAT